CGGAGGGGCGCCCCGCCGCGTCCCGGGCACTGACGGGTCTGTCCTTGCAGGCACCGCCAGGGTGGAGCTCTGTGTGCAGGGCCCGGCGGACCTGGCGCAGCTGGACGACGGGCCCTACGAGGCGGGGGGCGAGAAGGAGCAGGACCCCCGCCTCATCCCGGTCCCTGCCAACAGCTACTTTGGTAGGGGCGCCCCGGCCAGGCCGGCTAACCCTCTGCTCCTCTCTCTGTCCCCCCCACACTCCCGCCCCACCGCTCTGTCTCTGTCTCTGGTGATTTGTCTCTGCTGCCTTTCGTCTGCCTGTCTCTACTCTGTGGTCCCGCCCCGGATGTCCGGCCCCTGGTGTGTCCCCCCCAACCGCCCCCGCAGGGCTGCTCTTTGTGACCAACATTGATAGCTCAGACCCTGACCAGCTGGTGTATAAAAGTTTGGACCCTGCTGACCGGCTCCCGGGACCGGCCGGAGACTTGGCCCTGAATAGCTACTTAGGTTTGTAAGCTCCTCCGGGGCCCTCGGGGCCTCCTGTCCTGCGCTGAACCCCCAAACACGCACGCAGGAGACACACACCGGGTGCGAATTGTAGGGAAGAGCTGGGCCCAGTGTTCACGCTGAAGCCAGAGGCCCCGGGTGAGTGCCGCGGGCCTGGGAGTGGGGTCCCCACGAGGAGGAGCCAGGCTGAGACAGCGGGAGGGGAGCGGAGGCCTGGGAGACCCCTGCAGGGTGGGCGTGCGGCTTGGCGAGAGCCTCTCGTCTATCTGCACAGCAGCAGACCCGAGAGGTGTTCAGGTGAACCAAGCTCCTCCCACCTGCTCGCCCACCCGGTGCCATCGCACCTCTGTCCACGGGGACGCCCCCTTGCCAGGATGGGGGCACGGGGTGGGGGAGGGGCAGACAAGGTGCTCCGGGAGGGTCTGGGGTCCCGGTGTGCGGCGGGGAGCGGAGCGGCCCGGCCCGGCCCTCCTCTCTCCTCAGTTCCTGAACTGAGGCCGCGAGCCTAGAACTTGCACCGAGCTCACCTCTGGGTGTGGGGGGGCCGCTGGGCGCTGGGGGGCAGACAGAGGGCCGGTCAGGGGGCCGAGGCCACCCGTGGGCTGCAGACTGGCGCGGGCCATGGGGTCCCAGGGCGGGGGCCTCACCGGCCAGTGGCGCACCCAGGTTTCTCCATCGACTCGGGGAAGGGGCTGGTGCGTGCGGAGGAGCTGAGCTTTGTGGCGGGGGCCCCGCGTGCTGACCACAAGGGCGCTGTGGTCATTCTGCGCAAGGACAGCGCCAGCCGCCTGGTGCCCGAGGCGGTGCTGCGGGGGGAGCGGCTGACCTCCGGCTTCGGCTACTCGCTGGCGGTGGCCGACCTCAACAGCGACGGGTGAGGCTGGGCCGGGGGGGCTGAGGGCCTCTGGTCACTCGGGCCCCCGGCGAGCGAGTGCCCCCACGGACCTTCTGCTCTCTCCACAGCTGGACAGACTTGGTAGTGGGTGCACCCTACTTCTTTGAGCGCCAGGAGGAGCTGGGGGGTGCCGTGTATGTGTACATGAACCAAGGGGGTCGCTGGGCTGGGGTGTCCCCTCTCCGGCTCTGCGGCTCTCCCGACTCCATGTTCGGGGTCAGCCTGGCTGTCCTGGGGGACCTCAATCAAGATGGCTTCCCAGGTGGGCCTGGGGCCCGGCTCGCCCGAGGGGAGGGAGGCGGGGGCGGGCCCAGGAGGGGGAGGCCAAGGCGCGGGAGGAAGGCACCCGGGCCCGTCTGAGCTTCACCGGCTGGGTGACTCGGCCGGGCGCGTGGCCGCTCTGGGCTGCCAGCACCCGCGGAGGGGCCGCGAGCGGTCACCGGGCCCTTGGCAAGTCCCCAGGGACGTCCGAGCCTCTTAGTGAGACAGAGAACAGTGCGCGGAACTGAGGGGCTGAGGCAGGTGGAGGTGCGGCCTGACCCGCCTGCCCCCCACGCCCGCAGACATCGCCGTGGGGGCCCCCTTCGACGGGCACGGGAAGGTCTTCATCTACCACGGGAGCAGCCTGGGGGTGCTGGCCACGCCTTCGCAGGTGAGGGGCTGCGGCTGGGGCTGGGTGGCCGAGCGGAGGCCAGGAGCCGCCGGCTGGGGCCTCATGGTGGGTCTCCCGCCTGGCCGGCAGGTGCTGGAGGGCGAGGCCGTGGGCCTAAGGACCTTCGGCTACTCGCTGTCCGGGGGCCTGGACGTGGATGGGAACCACTACCCGGACCTGCTGGTCGGCTCGCTGGCCGACACGGCCGTGCTCTTCAGGTGAGCCCCTCCCTGCCTCGGCCCTCCCGGCCGGGC